TGACAAAGCGTGTTTAACAGAAGGATCTTGCTTACTCTTGAAAAAGACTAAGAATACCTGCCCTCAGGACTAGTCAATCTTTATCAAGTTACACTGCTTATATGAAAAAAGTTTAATATTACAGTGCCTGCTCATTTTCCTGTTCCCTCATCTTCCCTCTTCCTTTCCTTAGGCATTGCACTATAAAACAACTTACACACAGAACAGTTGAAATGCACAGGATCAAGTGATCCTGCCTATATTTCAACATTTGGATCTTAACATGAATACAAACTTCTACCCTGATTCAAACATATTTTGAAGAATTGGCCAAGACTTAGCTTGATTAGAACGGCAGCCTTTTCTTAGTATTATACACACCTTAAAAACAGTATGGGGCTGGGAAGGAATTGAAAGTTAATGCCACTTAAATAATCAAGAGCAAGTAACTTAAAAAGCTTTCTTATTACCTTCCCTTACCCATGACAAACATTTATTTCTACTCCTATTCAGAGATCTCATGCCTCCAAATGAAGCATGTCCTCAATACCCTTTTAGGAAAGGACATGGTAGAAGCTCACAGAAACAGCCACTCAACATAAAAACTGATGATGAGTCCCTACACACAATAAATGTGCTAATCCAGCATCCAATAAAGAAGAAAGTAACTGCTTGGATATTTTTCTCTTCAGGTGTTAGAGCAATTCATTGGGGTGACAGAGGAGTTCACACTCTAAAATCCACACCAGCTATGACAACAAAAACCGAGACACAGTATTCCAGATGATCTTCAGTGGTAACATATAAACAAAATCAGTTCTCTCACACATAGACACTGTAACAAATTACTGCAATACAAGAAACAGTGAGACATAAAAGCAGTTTCATTAGTAAAGTGTGAAGGATTGAGTCCAGTGTGTACAGGGACTCTGTTCTTGGCAATTTTCTTGAAGATACTCCCACAGCTGTAGAGACTGAGTGTCACCTGAACTGCAGAGCAATGCAGTACATCTGCACTACTCCCGCTAGGAAAGGGCCACAAGTGCCAACAGTCTTGGAACACTCCCCAAATCATTCAACAGCAAACAACTTCTGAAATACACACATCCTAGCTAACCTCATCCTTTAATCCACTGAGTCAACAGACACTGAAGTCTAGGGACTCAAGGTAGTACCACTGACCCCCAACTTCTCCCAAAAAGCAGAGACAGACACATTGCTCAGGAGTAAGACAGACGTCTCTAAGACTAAACTGTGCGACCCAGCAACGTCATCTTTACTGAGCCTAGGCAAAAAAGTTTCACATTGCTTTTGGTCAACAGACACTTCTATTTCAACACTAAAGATCACAGTGATTCAAACCTGTTAGGTCAACAGCTGAGATTGCAGAAGAAAGGTAGAACACTGCAGGAAAGAAGTGTCTGTATAAGCAAAATACTGACACCAGCCCTGCAGTTCAGTTACTGCTATGAATTAAACTACAAACTTTTTAGGGCCTCTGCTTGCCAGGTACATGCAAATAGGCAAAATTAGACTTTGGATGAAAATAAGCTACAGCAGATAAACAGGTCATCTCCATAGCCACAGAAATCAAATCCTGATATTCATCTGCTTTGTTTCAACTTTCCACAAACATCTCCCAGCTCTTGATCAGGCTTCTGGGAAGGTTCTCCACCTTATGAGAATTATTTTGAAGACGTGAGGAGACACATGTGGTATTTTCAGAATACGTACTGCAGAACTTCCTCTTGCTGCAAAGCAATGGATTCAGCAAAATAAGTCAAGGAAAATCCCAGCCATTTATATAATTTTCACAAACAGGAACTTGTTACAAGCACCTGCAACAACTTCACTAGTTTTCAATTCACTTCCCTTAATGAAAGCTTGAAGGTCTGTTTCTGAGTGAAATCCTATAAAAAGAGCTGAGATCTACCTACTTTTCCCTCATCTATGATGTGTTTTCACATTTGAAAGTCATATTATTTCCCTTCTCCAAAAGCATCTCCCTGTTGATACGATCAGAGCCATTCCAATTTGAGGCTGGAAGCAACCTTTTACTTGGCCCACACAATTAAACCCTTGGTGAAGCCTTAACACATCTTTCAGAACAATTATAAGAATCAAACTCCTATGCTGTGCATAAGTATTGCCTTCCCACTTGAATTATCAGTTTATATATCCTTAATGTAGCCCATATGCCTCATTCATTCACTCTGCAATGGCCCTTCCTGCTGCATCAAAATGAAGTTGCTAATTTCCCACTTCTTCACAGGAGTAATTCAGATAACACATATTGGTTAGCTGAGGGATAGGAATCCCTATCATCATGGTGATTTTTAGACTACTTTTGGATGACAACAGTTTCTTAAGTCCAAAATGGTCAGAGCTCAACTGTCCCAAAACATCAGAGCATCCTAGATTTACATTCTTTCTCCCTACACAGGGACTTGAAAAGCTCATTTAATGCCATCTGGCACTAAATCCAGCAGTTGTTGAAAATTCACTAGTAGCAGATCTGGAGTTTAAGAAAATGGTAAATCCTGTTAATGAGCACAAGATAGCAACTGAATGATACTTTAGTTCTCCTTCACATGACCAGCCTGTCCAGCACTGAGAGCCCATACCAAAAACATCACATCTATATTACAGCCTGTATTTGAAAGCTATACCAAGTATAGAAAACCACACAAATGCAAACACTTAGCAGCTCAGCTTTTCTACACTGAAGGCATTAATTCTGCTCTTGTCTCCCTTCCTCACACATCAGCTTTCATCTTGTCACCTCTGATCTCCGTATAACCCTCTGGAATTATTGTCTTCTGCAGAAAACATATGAGAACAGGAATCACTGTATCCTATCCTTACAGGACTACTTAACCCATGTTAAAGAGTTGATCTCTCAATTTAATTTATAAAGCCCAGTTGTTAAGTAGGGCAGTGGAAGAGAGGTTGTGTGACTTGACACCTGGCCACTAAGACACTAAATAAAATTGTGGAGTTCCCTAAGGGCACAGAACCCCAGCATCAATACCAGAATTATAGCGCTTCATAAGGCATCACTCTAACCATCACCCTCTGGAACTTGTATTTTTAATCGTCTAAATCCTTTATACCTTGACATAAAATTTATTGTAAAGCACTGGGAAGTTTTATCTTTCGTTCTTCACATCTTCAAATGCTACTTATCCAACCTGAAATGCACCCAGCCAATTAAACTCTGAACTGCTATTTACAGCTTGGAAAATAGATGAAAAAAAAAAAACAAAAAAAAAAAACCCAAAAAAACCCCAGGCATTTGTCTTCCCAGGAAATTATAAATTTTTTTCCTCTTTTTCTCTTTTTTGTGTGACATGCAGGTAGGTAAGAAATTCTGTGGAATTCTACTGGCTTCCGGCTCCAGTACACTCACTTTCTCAAGCAGTAATATTAGCACCAATATCCAAACACAAATCTTTTACACTCCTTACTATAACACTGGTAGATTACTTCTACTTCACTTGAATCCTGCCTATGCCAGATAGTACTTTTATTTATATATGTATATACACACAGAAATACAGAGACACATAGACACAGCACGCTTTCAAACACATGAGCTATGCTTTTTTAAGCTAAAGCTTGTAGTAACAGATACAGTCTGTATAGGACAGTCCAGACACAGCCTACAGATTAAAAAGTGTTGACGGCTACCAAACCACAACATAGAAGAGACATCAATAACCAAGATGATTTTTTTAAGTATACAAGGAAACATGACAGAATACATGATATCAAGACCAATTATCTACTTAAACAACAGTTTAGACTCCAGTGAGTCTTCAGTCAATGCTGCTTGTATCAGCATTTCTTGGACATATACACAAGAGCATCTAGATATATTGAGAGATCAGCCTACTGTTTGTCTCTTGGAGGGTAAACTACAAAGTCATTAGAAGTGAAATCCAGAATTATTTTCCAGAAGTAATGCTACCTCCTTTTAACAAATACTGCATCATCAGAACTGTACTTACAAACACCTGCACCAGCATTACTTAGTAATGGCCAGCAGCCAAGAGACTGCCTGGTGTAAAACCTGCTGATCTTCACTTGAATGTACTTCTTACCATGTCAAAAAAAACCATGGGAAACCCACTTTATTTTAGATATTAACACCTGCTGTTGATCTGCCAAGTTCAATGCTGGACAGAGATACCACTGGTAAGCAAGGCCAATTAACATCACACTACCAATTTTTTTCACCATTCTACTACTTGGTGTCTCCAAGCAGGGGCTGACATGAAATGAAATCTTCAGGATTAAACATGACTTTCTCATTGTTTTCCAATAAAAATTGTTTTGCCTCAACCTTGTTTCATGCCTTAACTAGCTAATGCCAGTCCAGAATACATCAAAAATCTGAGATAAAGCCAATAGCCATCTTTAATAAAACATGAGGCAAATTGCTGGACAGCTCACAAAGTTGCTGTCAGATATTTGGGACCTCAGCAACAGCCCTTAAACTCTCCAAAGGCTGTCCCAATCTACAGCATGGCATTATCCCAGACCCTTGCCATTTAAACACATCATCATCCAAACCTCTTCAGAAGTGGAGATATATTGCTGTGGACATAGCCCCACTCGTACTGGTGCTTGGCCAGCTCTGGGAATATCTTTTATATCATGTAAATCTCATCCTAGCTTAATCCTGACCAAGTAGGCAGTGACAAGCCTGTATCCCTTTTGCCCTGTGTCTGATTTTCTGCTCTTCCCGAGCCCCTGGTCCATAAGGCGCTCTTTCCACTATCTTCCTGGATAAAAGGCACGAGGTCATGAGGAAAAAAATGGCCGAAAGAGCAGTATTATGCAATAAGAGAAGAAATGCAATAATAACTCATCCTCTCCTGGAGATTTCCCATCACCCTCATGCTTTGCAAGCTGGATTAGAGCAAGCGTGACAGCCAGCCGGCTCAAAGGCCCACTAGAGTGCCCTGCAGGCTCCTCAGCCCCGGGCCTTCGCTGCGGAAACAAAAAGGGATGCTCACAGTCCAGGTGCTTTTTCTTGGGCCCCATCACTTCGTGCGTGGTGGCTTTGCAGACGGCTCTGGCTACGGCCGATCCCGTAACGCTGTACTGAGCAGCTGCGATGCGATCTGTCAGCGTCTGACCCGACATCTTCGAACGGCGTGCTGGCTGCTGCCTGCTCTGCAGGGGCGAAAGACACGGGAGGGGAGGCGGGGATGCCGGGTCTGTGCCTGTGGCCGGCGGGAGGCACGGCAGGGACGCGCACGGGCAGGGGCACACGCACACAGCACTCACACCGCCCCGCCACACGCACAATGGTCCCTGGGGCAGCCCGGCCCCTCCCGAGGCGCAGCCCCCCCGCCCCGTTGTGTAAGCCTCTGCCTCGCTAGAAGCCGCCCGGGGCAGGAAGAAGGGTATTTTAGGCGTTGCGAGGAACGGATGAAGGGGAAATAATGACGGCAGCTGCAGGAGGCTGCACACAAATAAGGTGCGAGCCGCCGGGATGGGGGGAAGGAAAGCAGCCCTCCCGCACCTGCCTGGGCAGCGCCCGCCCCACGAGCCGACCCGCGGGGGAGCCTCCGCCGCGCCCCGGCCCGCTGCGGGGCCCGCCCGCCGCCTCCCCGGTGGCAGATTATGGCACCGTTGCGCCATGTTCTGCCCTCCCGGTGCCTCCCCCGCCGCCGCCACCCCCGGCCCCGACACGGACCCCCCCCCCCCCCGCGCCGGGAAGCAGGGCGCCGCTGGATGCGGCGGCGGCGCCCAGCGCCATGCAGCATCCCGGCACGGGCAACAGCGGGATGGACCGAGCGCCGGCGGCCGACCTGTCAACGCGTCCTTCCCTCCCGTCCTCCTGCCGCCGCTCCGGGGAGGGCACTGCCGGCCCCCGCCGCCACCGCTGCCCGGCCCGGCCCGCTGGCGAGGCGCAGCAGCCCCCCCCCGTCCCCCCGGCCCCGGTAGCCCCAGGTGCCGGGCGGGCTGTCCCCTCCCGCCGCCGCCGCCGCCGCCGCCGCCGGGGATGCGCTGGGCGTCCACGCCCGGGAGCCGACGCTGCTATTTCCAGCCGGCGGCTTAATCCTCCCGCAGCCTAATCCCCGCGCTACTGCCGCAGCAGCGCCGCCCCCTAGCCCGGTGCAGAGGGCGGGACGGAGCGGAGCCGAGCGGCGCTGCCGCCGCAGATCGGTGGCCCGGCGCAGTCAGGTGACCCCGTTCCCCCACCCGCACCCCGCTCCCCGGAGCTGGCGGCGGGCACGGCCGGAGCTGCTCCCACGCGGGGGCTGTCCCGGTGCGGATCCGCGATTGGGGGGAGCCGAAGCCGCTGATGCTTCCCCGGTCTGCATCACGGTCCTGTCGTGGACGCTTAAAATAGTGCCTTGAGGGATCCCAAAACTGCTCATAGCCTCGATTGCTCCAGAATGTCGTTATGATGTTACTGTTATCAAAAACATCTGAAATATGTCCCCAGAAGGGTTTTCTCTCTGTTATCTAAGGTACCCTAAGGGTCTTGGTTACAACCCAACCACATTCGGGAGGATATATTGCTACAATTTTATTGTGTAATTGAAGCCTCCGGAGTGATCCGTGGAGTATTGGGAAATGTGGTGTACATATATTACCATAAATTGGCTGAACTTAGTTTTGGAGTAAAGTGATTTAAGTGGGTGGGGTCTGAACGAAATGGCACTGGTAGCGATTACTTTGAGCTGTCGGTAGAAAAAATTGCAGAAGACGATGTCAGCGCATGTTATTAATTAGCTTGAGAAAACACTACGTACAGTCAGTATTGAAGAGTTGTGCACACCAAGTGATAATTGGGTTGTGTTGCATACAAAGACATATGGCACCATTTTCATTTGTTATATCAGGAGCAGAACACAGACAAGGGATTGTGGTCTGTGACAGTATGAAACAGCAGCTTTTTCACTACTTCATTCTTTCTTTTTTTTCTTTTTTTTTTTTCCTGTTTTTGTTTGTTTGTTTTCTTTTTTTACCTCACAACACAGGTTTTAAGATCCTAGGTAGCCTGAAACCTTGAACTTTTGAGCATTATTTTAACAGCATTCCCAAGCTATCTTTTCTGTGGGAGATCACTTCCAAAATAGCTGTAAAATGGTGCCTTGGACCACTGAAGACAGGTGTTCAGATTTGCACATTTTCGATATTGGTTAAATCTCCTTCTTTTTTTCCAGAGCAGATAGAGATTTTTTGATTTCAAGATTTGAGGGTTTTCTCAAATACAGTGTTTGACTATGGAGAGAGATTTAATATCAAAAAAAGATGTAAAGTGTATATTACTGTTAGCAATCAGCATTAAGGATCTGCAAACTTCAAATGTTCCCGTAAGAGAGACCCCCATATTCCAATAGTGAGAATGTGTCCGTGCTTCTCAGCTCTATTCCATAGTGAGTAGCAAATAAACAAACCTTGGAGTTGCACAGAAAGATAATACCGTGCTCTTTAGCATTACTATAGCCCACTGTTCAAGTATGGACAAATTTTAGTAATACTTAGAAATTGTTTCTGTTTCCACAGAAATGTTAACTTCAATGCCTAGGAATTTGTCAGTAATGACATGGCTTGTGGCAGCTAGAAGCATGTCTTAGCAGAGGCACACAAACAATTTTTCCTCTGCACTTCACAATCAGTTATTGGGGTCATACTCCCAATTGATTTCAGACGGGAGAAACAATTGGGATCTACCAATACTTCATGTTCCATTACTGGCATTAAGAGTGACTCTGAACTTTTCTTGCTAATACTGACAGGAGTTTAGAACGGCTTGACTTTAAAAGAGAAACTACCTTTTAAACTGGTGTATTACAGAAGAAAAAACCCCCAGCTACGCAAATTAATTTGGAATTTGCTGACTCCACACAGCAGAAATTTAGAATGGTTTTAATTCCTGCAAGCGGGATATTTTTCAACTTTATGCTGGCCGAAGTATTTAATTAGTGATGCAACTTTTATTAATGTCCAGTGTGCATCTTCAGTGTGAGGGTCTGGACACTTTCTGAACTAGTCTTATTGTTATCAACAGTTCACATCAGAACTATCATACACAGATTCTCATCTGTGTCACCAATAATTGTGCTTCTTAATACTCAGCTAATTTTATATTTTCATATAAATATTGAAGGAAAGATAAGTCAGATAATCTGTACCATTGCTGTAAAATTTATGCAGTTTCTTAATGAAAACATAAAGTGCTTTAAGAAGGCAAGACAAGAAGACATTAGTACTCTTTAAATTCAGAGTGAAGGGGTGTGATCTACTGAAGTTGTATTGCTTTTGGATTTAAAACCAACCACCACTCCCTCAAAAATAACCCAACCCCAGAAAACAGGAGTTCATCTTTGTAATAAAAGCCACACATGAAGTAGGAACCTTCTTGAATAAGGATACACCACGGAGGGAGCTGCACAGGACTAAACAGATGGAGAGTCGGAGTTGCCATTTCACAGGGTAGTTTCAAATGAAGTCCCAAGAAGTTGCCTGGTGTGCTGGCTCTGTGAAACCCAGGTTCACAGCTTGTCTGGTGGAGGTCTAGATGAGGGCCATATAAGCAGCTGGAAAGGGTTCTTGCTGTTAAAAATAACACAGAATCAGTGATGTCTTTCTTTACTCCTTGTAACTGTGCTTTCAACTTAATAATGAAAGCCTTAGAGAAGATATACTAATGACAAACTGAATTGCCGTTTTGAGCCACAAAGATAATTCTTAACTGAATTTGAAGTGAGAAAAATAGAGTTGGTCTGTGTTAATCTCACATTCAAGCACACATGGAGGGAAGGAGACACGTCTAAGGGCTGATTCATCACACCTCTCACCTGAATTCTGTCCCAGAGATGCCCATCTCCTGAGTGATATAATGCACGTAAACTCTATTTTGTGCACTAAGGTGCACTGAAAATCTGGGGGTTTCTCACCACAATTCTTCTTTTTTCCATTTGTTTCCCAGTTTTTCTTGTCAAGTCTTCCAGGTCTTCATCCAGCTTCGATGCCCTTTCCTTCTGCCTTCACAGGCAGGGCAGAGATTTAGACCCCACCCTGTCTGTGCCTGAGTCTGCATCAGGCCCAGTGCTGTTGTTCTGCTTCTCCCTCTTACTCCTAGGGCCAGTGGTACAAACAGAGCTCCTGGAGAGGCTGGCTGTAACCATAGTGATAGCAGCAGTCCTGAATAGATCTGTTTAGCTCTGGGGAGGGGGCAAAAAACCCACTTTTCAAAGGAGAAGCATCCTCTTGACTTTGTATCAGGTTGATGGAGCCAGGTAGTTTGCATTATGCTTTCTCTACAGCACATGCAACAGAAGTTGCAAAACAACAGTAGGTACTCAAATCATGCAATACTCAGGAGTTTCTGTGCTTCTGCTGTTAAATATAACCTCATTGCTTGGTCTTGTGTGGGCTCTGTCCACAACTGTTTGTTCAGCTTCTGTACTCACCCTCCTTAATGGCATTTATTTCAGTAGTTCCTTTGGTTGCTGTGATATAAAGCAGCAATGAGAAATTAAAGCAGTTCATCAATTTTTCAGTCAGAATGACAGTCTGAGAAGAATGTAGCCTGAATGTGTTTGTGCATCCTAGGCAGAAGATTCATTACATTTTGGAGAACTACTTGAGCTACTGAATCTAAGAGAACAGCCATACACAGGGGTAAGGGTAAAGGCCTGGTGGCGTGAGTATACACTCTACATCCCATAGGAAAGACCTTTTTTGTGCCTTTGAAGAACTTTGAAAATTAAAAAGTTAATTTAGATAAGAGAGACAATTAATAGAAGAGAAAAGTTACACAAAGAATAGCTAATGAGCTCTTTTACTGCTCGTTAAGCCATGTCAGAGTGGGGTCATCTTCTGCAGAATATGGAGTGACTGCATATTACAGAGTTGATGATTATAGAAAGGTGGTAATTGGCATATTCTGTAAAAGGAAAAAGGTGTGTTCCTCACCCAGCACTCTGGCTCCCACAAGGACAACTTTAAAATCTATAGTATCTTAGAGACCTCTGTTTTCTGATGCATTAATGGACCCCATTATCCACATCACAAGCTTTTTCTGCTGGAGTAGTTTTTGGCTTATGTCTGGCAATAATATTGAGGTTAATAGACCAGAAAGGGGACAGATGGACGTATGTATCAGAAATGGAGCAAAAGTCCTGTAATTGTCAAAGTCATTACCTGTGAAATT